TTGCGATAAATACAATATGACATTGCTTTGCTCTAATGCACAATCTACTGCACGATCTTGCATGATGACAAATTTATTTGTTCAAAATACTTTTAAGCTGATATACTCTTCTGTCAGAAAGATGTGTCATCTTAGTTATGCTGACAGATTTTGAAGATGTTTCATCTTACTTTAATCAGTTGAAGCTTAAAATTATTTTACTAAACACGCAGATGGAACTAAGATTTCTAAATTCAAATGGAATTTGTGTTGCTAACATGATGTTGCGATAAATAATATGCTTGCTTTGCTATGCTATGCTATGCTGTGCTATGCTATGCTATGCTATGCTATGCTATGCTATGCTATGCTATACTATGCTATGATATGCACAATCTATTGCATGATCTTGCATCGGATCGCAAACTTATTTGTACAATTTCCCAAATCCCGAAATATCCCAGTTTAATCTAAGTAATTTGGAAGGCATATTCGTCATAGCACAACTAAGTAACACCTTGAAGTGGCTGCACGAGAACAAGATTTTGCACAATGATATAAAATTGGACAACGTCACCAAGGATAATGTGCAGTTCCATGCCATACTTATAGACTTTGGTAAGGCATGTTCATTTGTAAATGCTAAACGAAAGGAATTATCCGAGGAGTTAAAGGCTGAATATAGGGAAAAGCATGCGCATATTGCATCTGAAATAATCGAAAGCAAGTCAAAACAGTCACCAGCAAGCGATGCCGATGTTTATGCTTTAGAGAGAGTTGTTTTAAATTAAAGGTTGGGGAGTTTTGTAAGTGCGAACAGATTATCGTGCTAAGCAAATCATGTCTCAACGATATAGTGAAATACTGAAAAAAACAGTTACTGAGCCACCATCACAGAACGCACAACTTTATCTGTTATATAAGCACATGGTAAACACATGATACATGTAGAACAGAATAATTCATAGATCTTTGACTTTGTTACAATATGTCATTCTGGGTACATATGCTGCTACGTTGAGGCCATCAGAAGGCGAAAAAGCGCAACATTTGCGCGTGTTATTGCTTCCCGCAATAAATGTCATACAATAAATCAGAAGTTGTTATCACTCAGAAGATCCAAAACACCTTCAATCTGTACCTTTAATCAGTAACAATATTAATAACAGGTTTCGTCAGAGCTCCTACAGAGATCAGCAATATCATGTAGCGAAAAATCTTAGTAAATTTATGCACTTCACCTGGATTGGTGACAGTTATGAGCTAATGCGTTTCCGGAGATTCGTGTTTTTAAAACATAAAGTTTGCATAATTAAGGCAGTGCGTTTCGTCATGGTTCCAACAGACCTGTCGCGAGTATAATGTTGTTTTTGTCAAGTCTGCAACAAGCTTGTTATCAGACCTGCAACAAACCTGTCCACAACAAACAATTTTTGTCCTGTCACAACAAGTTTCAACAAGGCTGTTGTTGGAAAAGAAATCGAAAATGTGAGTAAAGAGAAAAATCGCACGAAATGGACACTTCCGGTTTCACTTTCTCATTCAATCATTGTTATTGGTGGCTATATTAAATCACATAGGAGAGACTATAGTCTATAGTATCTATTCTCTGTTTAAATGCAAAAACCGCTGGGTTTTTTTGAAAAATAGTTACGATTTCCAAAATTCAAATTCCAATTTACTGACGTGTGCTAAAGCTATATTTCTTTAATGTGATTGGATAAAGGCGCGTGCACACGTCATTATTCCTCGTTGCAATTGGACGAAATATTACAAACATATCAATCACGTAAACATGTTTAGTTGTTTTTGAATTTTGAGCCAAACAAAATTTCAACAACCGCCTCAAACAAAATCAAACAAGTTCAAAGTTGTTTTAATTTTTGAAGAAACTGTGGCAATGAGAACACAAGATCTAGAGCTTAAGAAATGAGAAATACATGAACAACCGAGTGTTCACTGCAACGTTCTTCATTGTGGATATGAATATGAAATTCGTTATATAATTTCTTTCCAATTTCAAGTGAAATCTGCGATCGAGGAAGACGCCTTATTGAAGCTTTAGGTTGTCATATTTCGGTCGTATTTAAGGTGAGGGTCAACCCAAACATTGATTGAAAAGTGAAAAAAAAATTTTGTGCTAAAACAGAGGTTTAGACCTTTGTTTAGCTATTGCTGACTGATTTACGTGTATTTTTTAAATTATTCTGTGTTTTTGAGCAGTTTTTACCAACCGCATGTATATATCTCTTTCGTTGCCATGGAAACTGAAGAGCATTTTTTTGAAATTTTGACCGCTCCTTCGTGAAAAATCTACTGTTTTGTTCAAAATTGAGAGGAAACTACAAGTAAGGCCTGCTGGCTTTGTGTTCAGCGGTTTTCAACACAAAAATTGCATTATGGGACACGAAAACACGTTTCACGAGCACGTTCACTGATGCCATCATGCCAGTTGATTTCAGACGAAATTTTCCTAGTTTGGCGAGCCTTTCAACGCGTAATTGTTGGTTGAATGGTTGGGAAAACGAAAAGAAGTATTTATCGAAAGTCAAGGGAAAGCCTGGCTTAGTTGAGAATGAAAACACGAGCGTGAAATGACAGAATCTTCATCAACTGCCATGTTTGGAACGTTAATATTGTACAATTGAATAAATCTGCCAGTGATTCTGGTGGAATATCGACACCCACAGAGTGCTTCAAGAACAAAACTAAGACAGCATATGGTGCTCAAGAGTTTACCGAAAGCGAAGGAATAGCCATTTGACCATCCCAATACAGACTTTTTGATAATTGGACAACTCACAATCGTCATCTGCTCGTTCTGATATCCATAGATGTGAACAAGGTAGGCACTGTGACTTGTTGTTATTATAAAAATGTCATTGAATTAATTTCTAACCACTACAGGTTATTGTAATGTAGGTAACACTGCTAAGTATTTATTGTAGCCCATAATAATATTCAGCATGTTTATGCGATAAGCTCTTGTACCATTAGAATAAGCTTTTGTATCTGTTAATTGTAACACTTCGATGTAGGACATTTGAGGCCTGACGAAGAAGAAGATAGAATAATAATAAATAATAATAATTTATTCATATAAATAAAGCGCATATGTTATATTATATAATCGAAGGGCTGTACATTATAAAAATCTAAATATATATGAAGAATTAAATATGCTATATAAAACATGGTATTGTATACAATTAGAATATACACTAATATATGTATCTATAATAAGAATGATAGAATCCAATATGGTCTCAACCTATAAAGGGTTATAAGCCTTATTGAAAAGAAATATTTTCAAGCGTTTCTTAAACACAGAAATGTTTTCACAGTTCCTGACATCCAGAGGCAGAGAATTCCATAATTGTGGAGCAGCATGTGCGAAAGCCCGATCTCCTAGAGTCTTACAGTTTGTTTTCGGGAAGTATAATAGACCTTGACCATCCGATCGTAATGTCCAGCGATCACTTGATTGTTTTGGGATAAGCATTTCAGAGAGATATAGATAGGGGCAATGTTATTAAGAGCCTTGTAAACCAGTAAAGCAATTTTGAATTCCACCCGGAATTTTACCGGTAGCCAGTGAAGTGATCTCAAAACTGGGGTGATGTGAGAAAATCTTGGACAATGGTAGATTAGTCTAGCAGCGGCATTAAGAATTATCTGAATTCGCTGGACTTGATACTGAGGTATGCCTGCCAACAGAGCATTACAATAGTCCGCGTGTGATGTCACGAAATCATGTATCAAAGTTTTCGTTGTATTATATAGTAGATAAAAAAATTCTAATTTGTCATATTTTATAAAGTCCTCTGAATGCTTTACTGCACATCTTGCCTACATGAACTGACATTGACATATGCTTGTCAAACCAAGATCCCAAGTTTCGAACACTGTCAACCGGCTTAATTTGGACCCCACCAACGTTAACGGATTCAATGTTTATTTTCAAAAGTTGTTGTGGTGTACCAATTACAAGAAATTCCGTTTTCGAATCTTTGAACATTAATTTATGAGACAACAGTGCGGCTAGGGTACTTTCTGAATTATCTTCACAATCTGGGCGAAAGGATACATAAAGTTGCGTGTCATCAGCATATCCATGAGAAGAGAGTAAGTGCCTTTCAATAATGTCTTATAGTTGGGATACATAAAGCAGAAAAAGTATGGGGCCAAGACAACTCCCTTGAGGCACTCCTAGGCCGTGAGATGAGGGTCGAAAATATGCTTAGAAAACAGATTCCGTAGCACCCCTCGTGTAACTACATAATTTTTACATGAATCTATAGATTATAACTTACTTAGTTAGAATCCACTTCCCCCCAAGCGAAATAGTTGCACAAATTGAAGTATAAGCCCTTCAAAGTTCACGCTTCCTCGTGTTTCGGAATCCATGAACCGCCATTGTTGAGTTGCAAATACGCATGCGCTTGAGCACAAAACACGTAATGCGCACGCGCAGACAAGAAAAACTGATCTCAATCTAGGACTGGACAAGAGAAAATTATGAAATGTGCGAAAACAGGGCTGAAGTAAAACAAGATGACATCGGAATATTTTAAAAATATATGATATTTTTATGTTCTGTGCATTTTAAGGTTACAGGACACCCTTTTTGGCGTTTTGCGGAAAGATTGCTACTGCGCGCTCAATATCAGTCCGATTTTCATCAAATTTTCACCAAATGTTCTCCAGTGCATGCAAAATATGGTAAAGTTGTAAAATTAACAAACAATAAAATAATGTAAGAATTATTCAGGAAAATCTTAAATCGCGGTACCGTTACGCGTTTGAGTTGTGCTCCTGCTGATTTTAAGTTATATTTATGAAAATATCATGTTTATACAGTAAAATAGTTGTTCTAAAAAATTGTGTTCGGAAATTTTTGTTTATTTCGTCATTCCACTGATATGGCGATTTCTTTGACGACTGCAATATATTTCTGAATTGTTTGAGTCAATTGTTCTTTATTTTTAAAATATCCAAAATTAAAAAAAAAGCCGAACACCATTTTGAAACTGACGTCTTTAGCTATGTCGTGTGAAAATTTGAGAAAAATTGGTTAAAACCCGCAGGAGCACAACTCGTTTGAAAATCAGTAATTACCGTAAAATTTTTCGGGAGAAAATTGAATTTGAATATTACATTTTCAATGTTTTTCTTATTGCAGCGAAATGTATTTTATTAAATAACTCTGTGAGTTTTCAACATTTTTCGTTCAAACTTGGAGGTAGAACTAGTCTAACGCTTTCATGGAAACCAATAAAAAAATTTTAGGCAAAATTAACACTCAAAGGTGTTCTGTAACCTTAATGGAGTTTACCAAACATTGTGAGCAATGTACCGTATCGAGCCCTCGCCAGGAACACTTCCAAGCCAACATTACAATAATAACTTATTTAAAATATGATGTTATTTTATACTACAGCAATTGCATAACGTTTGCAAGCGAATCAGGCTTTAAATAATATCACAATCCTAAATATTCTAAAACATGCATACCATAATTTCTCTATCCAATTTAGAAGGGGGGAGGAGGGTTTAATTCTAACTGTTTTGCACGTTTGATTCTCTTTATATATGCAACATCGGGTACTGTGATTATCAGTAAAATATCATAATTATCTTTCAAATACAACACTTTCATGTTTCATGATTTTATACATTAATTGGTTACAGGAGAAAGGAGGTGGGGAGTAGGGGTTGCTAAACTGAGAAATTGCGATATACCATAAGGGAGTGGTCATTATTTATGGGGAGGGGGGGAGTTGGGAAATGG